GATGGGGGATTGAGATGAGCTGTGCCCTTCAGTTTTTCAAAGTGTCTGCCCAAAAGATTTGTGAATTTGGCCCTCACTAGATCAAACACTCTGTTGATTTATACGAAGACAAGGGGAAATCTTGCTGCGGGTGTCAGCTTTGAGGTCTTTGTCCTACCCAAAAAAAGATTTATTAACTTCTGGAAAATCACATTTCGTTTAGCCCATGGGCGCTTGTCCTCTACTTCTGTGAAATCTGAACTAATTTGATAACATAATAATACTACACATTTTACACTCGCGTAAACACAGTTTTAGGAGGCAGCTGCCTTGGACCCTGCCTATCAGAGCCAAACCGAGCTGAGAGGTTGCAATGGCCGAACACACAGAGACGCATGTTCTTGATTAAAAAGGAAAAAGAAAACAACTCAAACGGGAATCGAACTCACGTCTTCTGTCTGCGACTGTGAAGAGCCTAACCACTGGACGACAAACGCTGGATAAAACATGACACAGGACTACGGCATGATACAGTTACAATAGAATTGACTTATTTCAACTGTTTGTTTTTTTCTCAAATAAAATTATAGGGAGCTTAGATTGCATTGATGCTATCTGTTACGTTATATAACCAGCAAAACCTTCGGGGCACTTGTATTTATAAATTAAAAAAAAGACAATTAGCAAAAGTCCAACACTGGCTTTCTTAAGGAAATGTGCGACCGAAAGACTCGGTAGCAAGTCCATTATTATTGAGGAAGCGACATTGAAGTCTTTATAAGTGTTTTACTATCATATCCATTCGACGTGGGAAGATCTATGTCACCACTTTCCAAAGAGGAAATTTACTCGTTGATCCGATTCGTACGCTTTGCATAGCAGTCTGTCAAAATGATTTTTTATAGAAATACTGAGAGTTTCAAAGAGATATTTGCGCTAGAAGTATTCTAAAATGTGAAGAATACAACCCGGGGTCCCAGGCGTACGGATAGGTTTGAGTATAATATATTCAAGTTTTTGACGACACCTAAACACTGTAGTTTGCTTGTTTTGGCTTACTTTGTCCCTGATTTTCTGGAAAAGTGGTACACGTTTGGGTCTAAAATGATAATTCAACTCATTCTACGTTATTTTACCCCCACCTCCACCCCCTCCCCACCCGTAAGCCA